GGCTGCGAGGGGGCCCGGGGCGGCGCAGACCCTCTGTCGCGCGTCCTCCGCATCGGGCAGGGGCAGCCCTGAGCCCGAGATCCGTGTGCTGTCCAGAGGGGTCTGTCGTCTGGCGGGGACATCGCGGGCCACTTCGAGGAGGACCGTCCCTAACCGACCTCCCCGCGGCCGCCACTGTCCCGCGATCCCGGTGCCCGCGCGGGGTTGGGGTGGGAGGGGGCGTGCAGCCGGCCGCTGTCCATTCGGGGACCGAGACCCGGCTGGGAGGGCGACCGGCACAGCCGGGCAGAAGAACTGCCCTAGACGGGGGCGGGGACGTCCGTTTGAAAGTGTTTTTCCCCCGATTTGACTCAGGAGGGTCGCGAGGAGGGCTGAATTCAATGATAAAAAACGGCGTTCGTCCTGCCCCTGAGACGGTCCTGCCCGGAGGACCCTTCAATTACGACTCTGTCGCGCGTCCCGGCGCCCCCTCCTCGGTCCGCACACGGAGTCAGTGAGCCGAACAATCCGTGGTTACTAAGGAGCAGTCCCTTTCCCTTTTCTGTTACTCAAAGCCGTCCGTAACTGTAACAGCCCTGGGCAATTCGAGCCCTTTGCATTAAGCGCCGACTGTGTGCGGGCAGGGCGTGCGGTGGCGCTAGGGACGCGCGGACCCGAGGCTGGCCCAGCGCGACGGAGACCGGAGTGTCCACCAGTCACTGCAGTCGTGTGACGAGCGCTGCCCCAAAGCGCTGGGCCGGCTCTACTGCAGCCCCGGGCGGCGGCACAGGTGCCTAACTCCGCCTGCACTCAGAGGCGCGCAAGTGGCCCAGCGTGGCCGGGGCGCGGGGCGGGGCTGGGGTCAGCGGGACGTCGCGCCTTTGGGTGGAAGGGCAGCCTGGAGGATGAGAGCTTTGAAGGCCGGCCTAAGGAGTTGGGCTTTATCCCCGAAGGGCAGGGAGCGCCAGGGGAGGTTGTGACAGCATCACATCCACCCAGATTAGAAAACTCAGTCTGGTGAGAACCAAGACAGAGGCGGTGGGGAAGGAGAGAAGAGGCCGAAGTAGAATCTCCCAGGCTTCCAACCAGATTGATCTGGGTTAGCCGTGGAGAGGTCCGGGGTTGAATCGGGGGTCCACTGCCTTCCGGGTAGGCGACCCTGGCCGACGCAGGAGTCCTCTCTGAGCCCCATTCCTCGTCTCTAAAATGGGTGTCCCTCCCAGCGGGGTGTGAGGATGATATTACATAATGTTTAGCAGCGGCACCTGGCACAGAGCGCGCTTAGCAAATTGCCAAAGTGAAAAAAAACTAAAAATAATGCTCATTCTGGTGAAGGTAGGGAAGCCAGCACTGGCTTCCTGTGTGGGTTCATCTTTCTGAAAAGCAATCTGCAAATTCTCTATCAAGACTCCTGAATATGTTCTGCCCTTTGACCTGGTAACCCCACTTGTAGGAATCTAGCCCAAGAAAATAATCAGAAACGAGTCTTTTAAAAGCCAAGCAGGTCATTCACAGAAACATTATTTATAATAGCTGGAAAGTTGGAAAATAATCAACTTAAGGGAAACAGCTAAATAAATCATGGTGTCTCTCTCTTAAGGAATAGCACACAGCCATGAGAAATTATGTTTTCAGGGCCGGCCCGTGGCTTAGCAGTTAAGTGCGCGCGCTCCGCTGCTGGTGGCCCGGGTTCGCATCCCGGGCGCGCACTGACGCACCGCTGCTCCGGCCATGCTGAGGCCGCGTCCCACATACAGCAACTAGAAGGATGTGCAACTATAACACGCAACTATCTACTGGGGCTTTGGAGGGGGTGGGAAGAGGAGGATTGGCAATAGATGTTAGCTCAGAGCAGGTCTTCCTCAGCAGAAAGAGGAGGATTAGCACGGGTATTAGCTCAGGGCTGATCTTCCTCACAAAAAAAAAAAAAATTATGTTTTCAAAGGATATTTAAACACAATATGATGTGAGATGTGAAGTGAACTCAGCAGGTTACAAAACTGCATACGCATTATGATCTTGATTTTGGAAAGAATAAATGTGTGTACTGGGCTCATAGGGGGGTTTTCACTTTCTCTTCTTTTTTTCTAGTTTGGATGATTTTATCGAGGAGAGAGAGAGAATATTATTTTGAATGTATATGACCTTGTGCTGCCTCCTTGAAGACCAGACAAGAGTGGATGGGAACGCTTTGGGGACACTGTTTGGGGCTAGACTCATGTGTTTTGTTTTGTTTTGTTTTTTGTGAGGGAGATCAGCCCTGGGCTAACATCCCTGCCCATCTTCCTCCACGTTATGTGGGACGCTGCCACAGCATGGCCTGACAAGCGGTACATCGGCGCACACCGGGGATCTGAACCCGAGCCACCAGCAGTGGAGCGCGCACACTTAACAGCTACGCCGTGGGGCCGGCCCAAGGCCTAGACTCATGTTAATTGCTTTTAATCAGTTCCTTGCAGGCAAAGCCTCCTAATGGAATATGTTGGGAAGGAGAGAGAGGCCCCGCCTCTTCGAATTCCAAATGAAGTCTGAGGCTGCAGCGTCTCCTGGGGGCCTCTTTCTTGCCTCTAATTTGAAGTGCACTTTTTTTTTTTTATAATTTTATTTATTTATTTTTTTCCCCCAAAGCCCCAGTAGACAGTTGTATGTCATAGTTGCACATCCTTCTAGTTGCTGTATGTGGGACGCGGCCTCAGCATGGCCGGAGAAGCGGTGTGTCGGTGAGCGCCCGGGATCCGAACCCGGGCCGCCAGCAGCAGAGCGCTGCGCACTTAACCACTAAGCCACGGGGCCGGCCCAGAAGTGCACTTTTATCGCGAAATAAACTCATACTCAGTGGATCTGTGCCCAGACCTATTCTGCTCCAGGAATCTGTCTTTTCTCATGGTGATATCCCATAGTGTGGTTATTATAGTTTTGGAATATATTTTAATGCCTGATAGCACAAGCCCCTGACATTGTTATGCTTTATAAAAAATTTCTTGCCATTTCCTAATCATGTAAATTTTTTCAGGTAAATTATAAAATGATTTTGTCAAACTCCCCGCCCCCCCAAATCCCATCAGGATTTTGGTTGGTGTTGTATGAGATGTGTTTACATTGGAGAAGAGTTGATATCTTTATCCCAAGGTTTTCAGTTTAAAAATGAAGTAACGGGCCGGCCCCATGGCTTAGCGGTTAAGTGCGCGCGCTCTGCTACTGGCGGCCCAGGTTCGGATCCCGGGCGCGCACCGACGCACCGCTTCTCTGGCCGTGCTGAGGCCGCGTCCCACATACAGCAACTAGAAGGATGTGCAACTATGACATACAACTATCTACTGGGGCTTTGGGGGAAAAAAAGGAGGAGGATTGGCAAGAGATGTTAGCTCAGGGCCAGTCTTCCTCAGCAAAAAGAGGAGGATTAGCATGGCTGTTAGCTCAGGGCTGATCTTCCTCACACACACAAAAAAAGAAGTAAATGTCTCCATTTATTCAAGCCTTGTGTTGTGACATGACTTTGCAGGACTCTTGTTTTTTAAAGATTTTATTTATTTATATTTCCCCCAAAGCCCCAGTAGATAGTTGTGTGTCATAGCTGCACATCCTTCTAGTTGCTGTATGTGGGACGCGGCCTCAGCATGGCTGGAGAAGCAGCGCGTCGGTGCGCGCCCGGGATCCGAACCCGGGCCGCCAGCGGTGGAGCGCACGCACTTAACTGCTAAGCCACGGGGCCGGCCCTGCAGGACTCTTGATCAAGCACCTGCACAGTGTCCGTGGTGGCTGTTGTCACTGTTTTCCCAGTACACTTTTGAGCCAGCTATCGATTATGGTGTCTTTATCTTGTAACCTGCCACTTTCTCACCTGGCACTATTTCTGCCCCCAGTAATGTCATGTGCCCCTTGATGGCAGAAAGCAGCTGCTCAGTTGCCCCCGTGTCCTTGGGACACCAGCTGAGTCCTGCACATCATGATTGCCTGGGGAAGGTTGAGTGAATGAGTGAATGAATGAATGAATGTAGGGTGCAGTTTCCTCCC